TTGAATAAACCAATAAAAAATAAAAGGTATAATTATAATATTACAATTAAAAAATTAAAATCTTTTTTTGCGATGTGATTACAAATTTTCTTGTGTTACAAGTCATTGCTTCTTGCCATGTTTCATGATTCTAGGTCAACGGAAACCCTGTAGGTGTCAAAAATGCGACGTAAATGGTCTTATCTTTTGATTGCATTGATTTGAAAATTTGATTTTTTCACAGCTACAAGGGATTGCAGACCTAAGTATAACTTCACGCGTTCCTAGGAGAAAATATGTTGACAGACAAACAGACGGACAACGAAGTGATCTTGCAAGGGTTCTTTTTCACTTTTTAAGGTACGGAACTCTAAAAATGACTTCCATGAGCTAGTAGTATTTTCAAATTTTAAGTTTGAGAATATTTTCAAAAAAATCTTCGCTTAATATAAGAACAAAGGCTTTCACGGCCGGAATCCATAGTAGAATAAAGGTTCGGGCTGTAGGGTCGAGGTCTAAGTGAACTATTCCGTCTAAACGTTTCGTCGGCTACTGGCGGCTGACATCCTCAATGGTGGTGCTGCGTAGACAACCTGAACGTAGATTATTTTTATATAGAAGTTTCGACAGCGACTGAGGATGTCTGCCGCAGTAGCCGACGAAACGTTTGGACAGAATAGTTCACTTAGATCAGGGCCTTATAGCCCGAATCTTTATTCTACTATAAATCTTCATTTATTTAAAAAGAAAAATTAAATTTCGCATTACCTACTCACATGATATATCTCAGATTTTCTCAGAGATATATTAAGATATTGGTCAATATTTCTTGATCTTTGTTAGGTGCAACCTTATATTTTACGTCCAAAGAATGATAATTTTCATTTTAGATATTATTTAATAAAATTTGTGTGTTCTTTGTCTATTTAANCTAACTCCTGTTTCTGCCTCTAATATGTCTCTGACTAGACCTTCATGCCTGAGAAGGTGTCCTACCAACTTATCTCGTCTATTTTTTATTGACTTCCAAAGAGTCCTCTGTTCTCCTATTCTTTCTAATACCTCTTCATTTCTAACCTTTTCTACCCACGTTATCCTCATCACTATAAATATATAAAGTATGCGTGAATAACGCGTACCTACTTCTTATTTTTGTAGTTAATTTTTTTTTTGGCACAGGGTAGTGAATGTCACATAAATAAATATTTCACTGAGCGAGAGAAACGGTTGTAGGTAAGTATAATATCTTTATTTAGAATTTAAGCAGTGGAAGTACAGGTACTTGTTTTTTGTTTTAAATAACCATTTCTGCTCCTCTTAAATTTAATTGTTGGAAACAGACCTATGGCTACTTATATGAGAAGTCGAAACGTCGGTTGAGTTTCCCAGAAAAAAACTTTTACAACCCTTATTATAGATCTGTTTCTAACAGCTTTTTTTAGAATAAAAAACTGAATCACTGAGTACCTACACAGTGATTTATAATGCTGGTCAAACTGTAAACACTTTTTAAAATAATTTAAATAACGGCTTCATTTAATATCTTAGTTATAATTAATTAACTTTTTGAATTAAGTTTTCTCGATTTTTCGGGAATTCCCAGAAGAATTCTTGATGCCCAAAATATTAAAAATCCTAAATTTTAGGGCATCAGATGACTTAAAACCGTTATAAAACTTAACAACGCATCTGTTCAGGTACGTACGGAACCCTCGGCGCATAAATCTAACTGACTGGTAATTTTTTAAACGATCTTTTCCAAAAAATTAATCAGTCTACCAAATATATACCGAAGGATTGTAGCAGTTTACAAAAAAGATGCACTCTGTAATATAATATGTAATACCTTCAGGTGCTTCTAACTAAAAACAGAACATGTGTTGTAGTGCCTATCGAAGATACGTGTATGTGTGTGTAAGTGTATATTGAAGAGGAGTGAGAGCGCTCATCCCATTTCTCATGGGACGCCGGCGTCGCCAGAATCATTTGGCAGACCGGGGATTTACCAAGCGACGTCGCAACTATCGGAAAGCTATTGAGCTTGGAACGAGCGTCGGCATACAAGCACACATACATACGTACAAATACATACATGTATGTGTCCCTAAGAGCCAGAGCCCAAACTTGGAGCCGAATGAAAAGCGAGGAATAGCGGGAGGAAAGATAGGTCACATGGGATCCGGAAAGATACAGAAGGAAAGAACGGAAGTGAATACTAATGCGCGCCTGTCCCTTACGTGACACCGAAGGATTTCTGTTATGAGGTGATTCTTATGCGGTTTGACCCGAACAAATGCATTATTCATAACAGAATATCGAATGTGTGTAAATAAATAAAGAAGAAAAAATCCAAATTAATTTTGAAAAGTTGATGATGGGAAAAATTGACCTGGTACGATATACTAAAATCAAAACCAAAAACAGAACTCATTTCGTCCGAAACGTTGTCAAAATCTCATTTATATAGGCAAAATTGATTATTTAAATAGAAATAGGCATTTTTCATTTTGTATTTCCATTTTAAACAGAACTATTTCAACTATGGCAACTGATTCACTCATCATGATTAATATCTTAAATAATAATCCTTATCTAATCGTTAGGAATATTTTCCACAAACAAGGGTAAAATAATGAACTATTATGTCTTGTCAAGAAAGGGTAGCCGAATCATTGAAAATTAGTTTACAAAGTGTTTCGCAAATATATTAAGGATAAATGAGATTACTTCAAAATAGTCAGGGCCAATCACATAACGGGCCATCCATAAATTACGTCACACGTAAATGGAGGGGGGACAGTCTATGACAAGGGGCACGGGGGTCAAAAGTTTTGTGACGTTACATGTCAAAATTTAAAATATTGAAACGCGAAATTCATATGTAAACAACAATCCTAAAAATATTACTAACTCTATTTATATTTACAGTTTATATCGGTTTAAATATATTTGACTTTATGTTGATTTTATTAAAGATTATTTTTAATGAATATAAAAAAATCCCAATTATGAAAAACACACGAAAAAATTGGGGGGAAGGTGTTTTAAATAATTTTCTTTTGTAAATAAATACAGAGGTTACATACCTAAACCTGGTCGGGCTGATTGGGCCTCAGCTACAGGGGCGACTAAGGCCTAGGGACGTACCTAGGGCCCGAAATTTTTGGAGCCCGAAAATTAGGTTTTTAATTTTTATAATCAATTTTTATTTTTATTTAACAGAAATCCGATAATTAAAT